CAGACTAATATATCCAATCACTCACTTTCATATTCCTTTGGATGCCTAGTAGGTATCCAATACATGACATGCACAATTTTCATTTTCTCCCCAAACTTGGCCCCTTTACAGTCCTTTCCATTCTCAGTTAATAGCAACTCATGCCTACGGATGGCCAGGCCAAAGTCCCTGGTGTCATTTTTACACCTCTACTTCTCTCACATCCCTAATCTCATCTGTCAGCAATGCCTGTTTGTTATCATTTTAAGATGTATCCAGAATTTGAACATTTTTTTGCCACCTTGGTGTTTTTCCTATGCCCAGAAAGTGCCTGTCACAGTAGAAATGCAGTAATGATCTGATGAAGGAAATAATGAAGTGAATCATGTCATACATCTGATCTCCATAACTTCCTGACAAAACTTAGTGCTTAATAGCTTTATATGCTGTAATCTGGCCCATGTATTCCTCTATCCTCATCTTTTGCTACTAACTGACAAATATCATATCCTTCATTTAAAGGAACTTATTTGTCATGCTGTGTCATTTCTCTGTGCCTTGCAAAACTTGTTCCTTTGCCTGGACAACTCTTATTCTTTTCTTTGCCAGTAGCTCAATTTTCATCTTAGCTAACAAGAATTCCACTCTAGCCTCAATATTTCTCCTCTGTGCTTGCCTACTCAGTACACACACACCACCAAAGCAGCATCCACAGTCTTCTGTAATAGGAGGCTCACCCACCTCTGCGGACTCTGAGAACCAGGTCTTGTCTTGTTGGTTTGGTATTGCTAATATCTACCACAGTGCCTGACAGGCGAAACACAATAAATACAAATGAACGAATGAGTGAATAACAGCAAGGATTTCTTTGTAGATTGAGTTTGTTCATATTCAGTATCCAAAACAAGTTTATAATGCAAAGATATATCCTTTCACTAAACATTCTTTGGCAGCGACATTTCACAATAATCTTTCAAGGAAGAATGACTCTGAATATTTGCTTTGTGTGTGGTTTACTTTATTCCTCCAATCTAATCCAAAGGGAAGCTAGCAATAACTCTTCTTCTGGGTACAGTCATTCCTTCTTCAGACTTAAAAAGAAAGATCTTAACAGGGTCTCATTTCATTGAAAACTTATTTCTCAAAGTATTATATCCCGGCTCATATTGAACTAGATGCATCACCTTCTACTGCTCCCTAACCTGATCTTCCTCTGTTAAAATTTTATATGCTTTTGATCAAAGTTTACACAGCAAGTTAGTTTCATACACAAATTGTTCCGTGCTATTGGTTGCAATCACTACAAGGTGTTACTGCTCTCCCCATTTCTGCCCTAAGCTCCCCATTTCCATTAGTCCTATTTCCCTTCCTTTCTTTCTTTTTCTTCTTTTCTTCCTCTCTTTCTTCCAACTTGCAGTCAACTAGCTGTCAGGTCTAATGCTAATTGTGCTATGAGAATACAAAATACTTTATTATTATAGGATTGCAATTATATATGGAAGTATGTGTGGGCGGAGACTGGGAAAGTAATATTAGGCTCAGTGCTCCAACCACACTGAGCATGTACTGTGACCCAGCATTGTTCTGGAAGAGAAGATTACAAAGATGGAACAGTCCCTGTCCTGGAGGATTACAAGGTCTCATGACGCTTACAAAAATTGCTATAATCTCATTTGATAAGCTTGTAACTTGCTTTGTCCCCAGCTAGCAAAGCACGATTGTGTCCCAGGCAGTTAAACTCCTTACTACAGTGTATCAACTTCTAGGGACTTATTTTAGAGAATGGCAGTATATTATCAGTGGGAACTCAGATTGCTGTTAGGGTGGGGAGGAGAAAAGAGATTCTTTGTATGTAAAAAGCAATATGGGTCTTCCTCACACGGTCATCAAAGATGGGGTTGGTGCCTTTGAAGTACAGAGACTTCAAGAGTCATGTTCAAAGGGCCAGTGTGTTTGGGGTTAGTTCAACACATGGTCTATAGTTCTGGGATGGTTCCTCTTAGTCCCCTCTCCAAAGGATATGTTGGCACATCTCCACATTCTTCTGTGCAGTGAATTATTTAACATGATCCTCACAAGGTTGGTTTGAGCCAAGAGGTCGGCAGTTCAAACTCACCAACCGCTCTTTGACAACCCTAAACAGGGTCACTATGCATCTGAAATGACTCAAAGGCATTTAACAACAGCTATGGTCTCTTTGTTGTTGTTGTTAAGTGCTGTCGAGTAGATTCCAACCCATAGCAGCCTTGTATAGGGTTTCCGAGGAGTAGCCAGTGAGCTCAAACTGCCTACCTTACAGTTCAAACAGCTTTGCAGTCTGGCGCATTAACCCACAGCACCACACCAGGACTCTTTAACTCCCACCAAATGACTAGATGGGACTTTGTAAATGGGGCACTTGTGGAGACTGGATAGTTTCTGGCACCCTTGTAGAAGTGGGACCATATAAATGACACATACAGAACCTTAACCAGGGTATTAATTTTGAGATTCTGTTAGACTTAAAGTAAACTTCCTAGAGACAGAAAGAGGGAGGAGAAGAAAAAAGATGGGAGCAGAGTATGTGCTGGGAATCTCCAAGACCCAGGACACAGAGAACTGTAACAGTAATACGCAGCAGCAGAGAAATGATGGTAGCAGAGACAGCAGAACCAAGAGACCAGCAGGAAATGGTACAGTGGCCTTCTCAGACTATAGAAAGGAAGAGTTGAGTTCCTTCAGGCAGGAAGTTTGCTCGTGAAGTGAGGTGCCTCTGGGAATTTATTGGTGGAGCTAAAGACCTTTGTAATACTTGCCTGAACAAGGCAGAGACTAGGCTGGCACAACGGCCTGAGGATTAGAAGGCCAGAGAAGGTAAGATGGCTTGCCTGAGAAGAAGCTGTCCTGATTGTGAACTGTATCCTGAGTCATTTCTCTTCCTGAATTGTAACCTATTAACTTCCCTAGTAAAAGTCTATGAGTTCTGTTTGGCCATTGCAATGAATTCTCAAACCCAGTAGAGAAGTATATCGTGTTGTGGGAGGGACAGCTGGGTTCAGAATTGGCAAAAAAGGTTGCAGGGTGGAGGCATGTCTGGCCTCTGATTAGGGTGATACTGACGGTGATTCTCTCTTTCCTCTGTGAAATTAAAAGAGTATCAGGACACCTCGTCATCTCATTTTTATAGTGCGCAGCCATCCTTCCTTATGCCTGTCCGTACAGCACCTTGCTCTGCAAATCAGTTTCAGGAAAGGTTTGACTACCAGCTACTTCATAGGTATAGGGAGTTAAAGGTTCCAATGCTTACCCTAGGACCACAAGCTCAAAGGTGTGTGTATTCAGAAAGGACCTAGACCTGAGAAACACAAAGGCATTCTCACCCTCTGCGAAAGAAGCCAACATTACTATCTTCTAGCCTTTCTAGATGCATTAGCCCCCAGTGAGGACAGAGTGGAAGACACTCTAATTCTGGACATAAACTTGCTAAAGTGGTGACAGATAAAATGGGTATCCAGTTCTCCATAGGATTCTGGTCTAAAAGTTTATTAAAAAAAAACAACACATTTCATATATATATGTATATCATCATGATATATAATATCATTTTCTTCCTGCATATCTTTGCCCTGCTTTCCCTCAGTGTGAACAGCAGTCTCCCAGCCCATTTTAAAGCAACAAAACCTCATGTTCTTCCTCTGCTCTGGGACCACAGGCTTATATAGTTGTTTACATGGAAAAACTCAGGAAGAAAAAGTTTCTTTCTATGTCTGGAAAGGACTTCAATGGCTCTGTTTGGCCATATATATGTCCCTAGACTAGGAAGACTTTCGGGAAGATTGGGCACTTGTGATTTACCAACTTGGGTCACACACTAACCCCTACAATGCAGAGGATATGAAAGACAAGTCCCAACAGTTGAAAGAAGTGACAATTCTTAAAAGGAAAAGTTGACAGACAAGAAAAGGAACAAGTGTCCACTACACTACTGGAGTAAAGTCAAGGGAAACGTTGAGTTTAGGGTGCCTGGAGGACATTAAGGAGTGCTGGTGGTGCAGTGGGTTAAACGTTGGGATGCTACAAAAATATTGGCAGTTCGAATCCACCAGCCTCTCGGGCGGGAAAGATAAGGCAGTGCGTTTCTATAAAGGGTTATAACCTTGGAAGCTCTACAGGCCATAGACTTTGTCCTAAAGGGCCTCTGGAGTCCTGGTGTGGCGCTGTGGGTTGATGCGCCAGAGTGCAAAGCCATTTGAACTGCAAAGTCGGCGGTTCAAGCTCACCAGCTGCTCCTCGGAAACCTTGTACAGGGTCGCATTGGGTCGGAACAGACTCGACAGTACTTAACAACAACAAAGGGCCTCTATGCAGTAGAATGACTAAACGTATTAGGTTGCTTGTTTGTTTCCTCTTGGAGGATATTAGAATGAGGTGGTCAGTAATAATTTTGAAAAAATGAATCAGAACCATAAGATAAAGATGTAAATTTAAAATATACCTTTTAAGATCTGGAATTAAGTCCTGGTGTGGCACTGTGGGCTAATGCGTTAGACTGCAAAGTCGTTTGAACTGCAAGGTCGGTGGTTCAAGCTCACCAGCTGCTCCTTGGAAACCCTATACACGGTCGCTATGGGTCAGAATCGACTCGAAGGCACTTAACAACAACAACAAGTGTGTATCTGAATGTGCAGTAAAACACACACGCACACATTAAAACTCTTAAGTGGGACAATTGCTCAGGAAAATATAAATCTATTTTAGAAATCTCCAGACAATACCAAGCACATGAGAAACCGCGTTTCCTCCAGACATCTCCCAACTATCACGATTTAGATTAAGTTTATTTGATGTTGTCATGGTGGTGGAAGTGCGGTAGGGAACTCAGGAGAGGCGGACTACAACTTCCAGCATGCCCCTCGAGAGGCGGGGCATGTAGGCGGGGCTAGGAGTACTCACCCACTGGCGCGGGAGGGCGGGGGGCCGGTGGCGCCGCGTTGAGGTGGCTAGGGAAGAGCTCCCGGATGTGGAGAAGCTGGGGCGAAGGCGTGGGAAGAAAATGGACTCAGTGGAGAAGGGGGCCACTAGCTCTGTCTCCCACCCGCGGGGGAGGCCGTCTCGGGGCCGGCCGCCGAAGCTGCAGCGCAACTCCCGCGGCGGCCAGGGCCGAGGGGTGGAGAAGCCCCCGCACCTGGCGGCCCTGATTCTGGCCCGGGGCGGCAGCAAGGGCATCCCCCTGAAGAACATTAAGCACCTGGCGGGGGTCCCGCTCATTGGCTGGGTCCTACGTGCAGCCCTGGACTCGGGGGTCTTCCAGAGGTGCGCATGTGCGGGAGGGGCCCTGGGTTGGGGTTGAGGGGACAGCCCCAGGTGGGCGTTGAAGAGGCTTAGGTTTGCTGGGTGGGTGCTCCTGGAAAGGGGCAAGCAAGGTCCCGCATATCTGGGCCCTTTCTGAGCTCCAAGGGAGAAAGGGCTACAGCTCCTTGTTCATTAGCTGCTAGTAGTCATGACCTGGGACAGTTCCTGTCCCCGCCCTTGAGAATGCTCATCTGTAAAAGCGGAAACAAATTGCCCCTTTCTAACTGTCTTCCCCTTGGTTAATCCCTCAAGGGAAAGTAGCAGAGGCTACCCCCAATGAAAGGTCGGTGTAATATGTATAATCCTTTTAGACAGGCCCTCGGCGCTCCCTGTTGCTCAGACTCTGCTGATTGATTAGGGAGGCCACAGGTTCATGAACAGAATAGGGAGTCTGGGCTCATCTAGTTTCAAGCTCGGTTTGGAGATCATGTCTTGACCTTTGAAAAATAATGTTTGCTATCTGCCTGTGAGTCAGCATAATCTAGACCACTCCCTACGTTTGCATATAGGTGAGAGACTTGGGAGCTAGCTGAAGGGCTAATTGTTTCATGACATGCTTATAAATGCTTTTATCATTTCTTTGGCCCCAAGGACACTTTTCATTGTGCATCTTTAGAGACATTACCATATGACAGATTGGCAAAGGGTTATAAGCGTGTTTGTCATTCATAAAAGAAGGATGTTATTCTGTGCCAAAAATAAATGTACACAAAGTAACTTCAACCCAATCATACTTGAATTTGTTATTGTGAAAATTTAAAATTATTTCTATCTTTTGATGATTGGGTTTTGATTTGCAAAAGATGCCTTTTAAAAATGATATTGGTAAATGAATAATTATATCATTTTCATCTAACCAGCCATACTTAAAAAGGAAGCCTTGGATATAGGTAGGCAAATGGGAGCTGGCACCCAGAAGAAGCCACGAACGTTATAGGAAGGGTGCAAAGGAGAGATAAGAGAGGAGTCCTGGTGTGGGGCTGTAGGATTAGCAGTAGTCTTCGAACCACATGTTAGCAGTTCAAACCCACCAGCTATTTCTCAGAAACCCTATGTTGTTAAGTGTCTTTCAAGTCAATTCTGACTCATAGAAACCCTGTGTAGGGCTTCCAAGGTATGGCTGTTGAGCTTGAACCTCCGACCTTGCAGTCTAGCACGTTAACCCACAACGCCACACCAGGACTCTTGGAAACCCTATATGGGTTTGCTATGAGTTGACAGCACTTACAACAGCTACACTGCTTGGTTAATTTAGTAGACAGTTATTGAGCCCTAGTTTATGTCATCATAACTAAGTTAATACTGACATGAATATGATATTGACATTGTGACAGTGAGTCCTAATAAGCCTCACCTTGGACATTATCACCTTTATGGTGGTGGTGTGCCATGGAGTTAGTTTCCACTCAAAACAACCTAGTATAGGGTTTCCGAGGTTGTAAATTGTTATGAGAACAGAAGCCTCATCTTTCTCCCGCAGAACAGCTGGTAGTTTTGAACTGCTGACCTTGAGGTTAGCAGCCAGACTCGTAACCACTATGCTACCAGAACTCCTATATAGAGAGGTACAAACTAGAGAGGACAGAGAAGTGTGTCAATCCAGGTAGCAGTGATACAGTAAAATACTGTTTTTGTAAAATGAACTGGAGATCAAAGTTACATTCACAGTAGATTATTGAGAACAAAACTGTCATGCAGCTCTTAGGTTGCATGTGTGAGAAACTACCTTTCCTTGGTGGCCCAATAAAACACTTAGTTGCTAATTGAAAAGTTGGTGCTTTGAATCCACCAGCTACACTATGGGAGAAGAAACCTGGAGATCTATGTCTATAAAGCTACGTTGTTGTTAAGTGTTGTTAAGTCAGTTCCAACTCATAGTGACCCTGTATAGCGTTTCTGAGGAACAGCTGATGGGTTCAGAGTCCACTGCTTATCCTACAGTGCCACAATACGGCCTAAGAAACCTTAGGGTCTGTTCTACTCTTATAGGGTTGCTATGAGTTGCAACTGACTTGTCAGCAAACACAAGAAAGCATACAGTTTGTTTCACGTATAATCAGATTTAAGGGCAAAAAAATTATCGGCAAATAGTAATTAAAAACTTAGTATGTGCCAAGGAGTCCCTGGTGGCACAAATAGTTAAGTACTCGGATACTAACTGAAAGGTTGCTGGCTTGAAACCTCCCAGAGGTACATCAGAAGAAAGGGCCCACAGTCTACTTCGAAAAGGGCACAGCCATTGAAAACTCAGGGGAGCACAGTTCTGCTTTGACACATTGAATAGAAATCCATGAAATGGCAACTGGTTTGGTTTCACTGTGTGCCAGACATTGTTCTGTTTTAGTTCCTAAACCAGAGGTGATAGCAGCGGCAGTAATCAGTCTCTTAGAGCTTCCATTAAACAATGTACAGGTAGTGTACAAATAGTTGAATATATACTGTGTCAAATGATGATAAATAGATTTATGACAAATGAAGCAGAGTAAGAGGATGAGGATTTTTTTTTTTTTTTTTTTTTTTACCAGAAACCTTCATTTCCTGGCTCTTTTAGGTAAGCTTTGTCTTTATGGTGCCAATGTGGTGGTTTCCCTCATTGTTTCAGGTTAGAGTCTCACCAGCAAGAGCTCTTCTCCAGGCAGTTTAAACAAGTTCTCGTTGGGTCTTCTGTTCATCTTTAAACCAAATGTTATGGCCAGGAGAACACAGTGCTGCTATAGGCACATTTTAACCTCATCTTTCACTCTTGGAGTCTTTGCTGAATGCTTCAGGAGAAGTTCACTAAGAGAAATACTGGAATGCTGTTACTAAAATTGAGGGGCAATAGATGGCAAGAGTCAAAATCGAGCCAGCAACTATTAAATAGGCACTCAGATTTTTATACTCAGCTAAGGTAAACTCTGGAGTCAAACGGTTTTGAATTTCAGCTTCACCATATATTAACTGGGCAACATTGGACAACTCTGTCAACATTTCTGGGCCTCAGTTTCCTCATTTGCAAAAAGGGCTTTATCTCACAGACTTCTGAGGATGAAATAATGTATATATTATCGTTGTTAAGTGATGTCGAGTCGGTTTGGACTTATAGTGACCCTGTATAGGGTTTCCAAGGAGCAGCTGGTGACTTTGAACAAACAACCGTGTGTTCAAACCAACCTTGGTGCCCAGTGCTTTATCACAGAGAGCCATACTGGGATTCCAATGTATATATTAGTTCTTAAAATACCTATTGCCATGCTCTCAATTCCAGTTCATAGTGACCCTATAGAACAATATAGAACTGCTACATGGGGTCTCTAAGGCTACAGAAACAGATATCTTTCTCCCATAGAGTGGCAGCTGGTGGGTTTGAACCATCAGCCTTTTGGCTAACAGCTGAGTGCTTAATCGCTATACCACCAGGGTTCCTACACCTTAAAATAGTACATGTCAGGTACACTACATGTACTTGTCATATAGTGTCTGATCTGTCATGACGTTTCCCCCTTGTATTGGAGGTTTTCACAATCTTCATGCCTTCTACCGGCCATAGTTTCCTTGCTTGTAAAATGGGAATGATGTAATGATTTTCAAAATTCTTAGTAGTATTTAGATTCTTTACATTTGGAAAGTTAGTTGAAATATGCCTTTATTTTCTATTTGAAGAGTTACCAAACTTTTTGTAAAGGGCCAGATAGAAAATATTTTGGGTTTTGCAAGCCAGATGGTCTCTGTTGCAACTATTTAAGTCTGCAGTTGTATGTTGTGAAATTGACAGAAGACCATACATAAATGAATGAGCATGGCTACTTTCCAATAAAACTTGATTTACAAAAGCAGGCTGAGGAGAGAACTGTATTTGCCCCAGGGCAACCTCTGCTCTACTAGATGAAACACTTCTTAGAGCCAGTGATGATAAGATACTATCACGTTTTTCTTGATAATATGTCATAGGCTTTCTGCATTAGACCCTCAATTAAAATAGGTTGATCTAAACATAATAGACTTCTTTTGAACCTGCAGGAGGAATTTGGAAGACTCTTCTTCCCTCCTTCTCATTTATTTCTTCCTCAAATATTTTCTCCAGGAAGGAATTGAAGAAAATTGTAACTGCTGATTTGAATTTTTCAGGATTAAAAAACACCTTTAAGATTATTTTTTTCACAATGGTCCTTTGACATAATTGAGGCAGCCTTTTCTGACCTCAGAAACAAAGCTAACAATACTTTCAAGGAAGATTACTAACCTTGGTATACAAATTTGAATTGTTAGCAGTCAAGGAAAATTCTGCAATGAAGTTTCTTGGTTTTGATTTTGTTTTCCAGTTAATAAAGAGCTATTGTTAAAGATGGCTTTATGAGAGCTTGCTTCTCTACAGTGGGGCCAGTGGTGATGAAGTGCACCTCAGAATCAATTTTTTTTAATGTTGCCTTAACATGCTTGTGAAAAATAAATAGAACTTTAGTTTCATTTCTAGGATATGGCTTTATAATCAATGAAAGGCTTAAGCTATATATGGAGTCCTGGTGTGGTACTGTGGGTTAATGTACTTGACTGCAAAAGTCTATTTGAATCACAAGGTCAGTGGTTCAAGCTTGCCAGCTGCTCCTTGGAAACCTTATACATGGTTGCTATGAGTTGGAAGCAACTCAACAGCACTGAACAACAGCAACTTGCTGTATATATTAAGTGCTGTCATGTCAGTTCCAACTCATAGTGACCCTATGTAGGTTTCCCAGCGACTGGTGAGTTTGAACCATTGACCTTGTGGCTCAAACCAACCTTGCGGTCCAGTGCTTTATCCCACAGCGCCACACTAGGACTCCACCGTATATTTTAGTATCTTCAGAGTGGTAGTTTGTGATTTGAAAGAATTGTCACAAACACTATGGTTGCTATTCCTGTTCATTCTGTTAAATGTATTATGACTTCATTCAAGGCAAATGCTATAGACGTTGTTCGTTGCCATTAAGTCTGTTCCAACT